ATTAAGGGTGCAGCTAGACTTATCCCTTCATCTTTTTGCAGAGCTTACTATTTTATGTATTTTCTTCAAGCTCCGAACACATATTCTTACTTTTGCCCATACAGCATCCACCTATAAAGCAAATAATACATAAAATATGCAATAAATGGTAGCATTTCAAAGCATCATAACGATGTAATGCGACAAACACACTACAACAGAGCTCTCGACGCGCTCAATTTTCAACGTACTTCTCGGAGCAGTAAAGAGTGCAGAGTTGAAGGTTTTCTTTCCCCTAAACTTGGCTATAAAGGTATATTGCTAGCAAATGGGTGGATTAGGAACGTAGAGGTCCAAATAGCAAGGATACATTCATAATCTGGAGGAAATATAATTGCTAAGGAACATATGGTGAAGTGCATAACAAAATTTTGTACAAAGTGTTCTGTTACACTTGTTTCATTTTTCAGGGAAACTAGTTCTGGAGCAAAAATCGCCGCAGTCATCCACTTATCAAATCGGAAAAAAAAATTGTAATGAAGAAGTTTCATACAATATGAATCTAGTCATTTCATCGAAAACTTGGAAAAAGAAAATTTTCGAATGGATGGATTTTTAGCAGAATAAATCCCGCAAAACACTTGAGGCAAAATGTTTAAAAGTGCACTGTGCTGTCCGACTAGCGGAACTGGATGAATTATTCTTGTGTTTAAGAGAAAAAGAGTGTTCAGTTAAGAAAATCAATTTGAAAAGGTTTACGCATCCATAAAGCAGTGATTGGACTAATTCTGAGCTTCACAACAAACATGACATTATGGGATTTTTTCAAACGCACAAACTAAGTTATCTTTCAAAAATAACTCAAGCGGATGAAATTATACATGTTTATCCATCAGCAAAATTGAAATAATAGCTTGGGAGAGCACAAGGTACCTCGAGGTATTGTGGTGATATGATGAAATGGTGCAAAAACCATACAGCAAGTGAAGCTTGGGTTTATATTTGCCAAAATTACTACTAGCGAAAAATCTTCAAAAAAGTAAATTGCAGGCACTGATGGTAATCAAAGTATGGTATTTGAATGAGTATATTTATACATGAGTATATATAAAAAGCGAGTTGAATGGCAAAACTTAAAGGCTCTCAGTTTCCAGCAAACTTTGATTCAAGAAATCATCGTAATTTCAATCTTATGCCATCAAATTTATCAAACCATTCTTTTCCCAACGAGCCCAAAATTCTTGCTTTTGTAAAAAAAAACTTCTCAGACTTTTGTCACTTAGTGAGAACCACTCTGTGATGCTGGAAATAAGCCGAGCACAGTGATAGAGGTCATAATAAAATATTAACATGAGTATAACAGCAAAGATGCATTGATATGAAATTAGCGAAATAATTCGAACAAAATGCCTCTGGGTTAGCTGAACCCGATAAAAGGCCGCGGGAAGAGTAATAGAGAGGATGAGAATGCTATATGAGTTTGCTGCATAATAAGTACTTGACTGCGGAAAAAAAGTGTTTTCCAAAGTGCTTGAGAGCTTATAAATAAATAGTTCTAAAGCTTAAAGCGGGGAGAATACGACGTTTTCCTCAGCTTTGAAAAGTTAGTCAACAAATTGATTGAAATCCCTGAATAACCATCAAAACGACACTAGGAAAGTGCTCCGGAATGCAAAAATTAAGAGTTGTGGAAGTTTTGACCAGATGACGCTAGATATACAAAGTGATGCGATGCCAAATATCTCTGCTGGACATCGTCGGCTGCCCTCCAGTGATTAAGGTGACGGCCTTCGAACAGCGCCAGGTAACCGCTGTTCCAAAGCCGTCACCGGTTAATCACCTGCCCCGAGCTAGAGGATCCATCCAGAGTATTACGTGAGTGTATGTGTGTATGAAAGTGCTCTATGCATTGACGGCTGTGCAGCTGTCGACATCGAGGTGTTGGAGGAGGAGGGCGGGATCGGAACGCGAGGATCGAGGAAGGCGTGTCCTCCCCGGAGGGCGACATCATTCCTATGTCGAAAATGAAATGCTATGCTTAACGTCAACTCTCAACAGGTTGTTGTTTTGCCACCTGCTGGGAG